CTCGGGGCTCCACGCAGACTCAGGAAATAAGTCGACTGCCTGCATGAATCCTTCTTCACTGCTGCAGATTTAATCAGCGATTACTGCAAAGTCTCCAACTCGCTTTCTGCCAATGTCTCCGGGATGTGGTGGAGCATCCGGAGCTAAAGTGATCCATGATCCCGTGCAGGGACTCGCTCTCCTCCGGGGCTGAAGAAGGGCCAGCTGGTCGGGTCAGGCTCGGCTGTTGGCGGACTAAATGAAACGGGATATTGTGAGGGACCATCCTGCTTATCTCACCGCCTTGGATCAAACACGATGTGCAGACAGATCGTGGATCAAGCCGACCCCTTCACCATCACCGCAAGTTCCCCAACGATGGCTGGCTTCAGGTTACTGACTTCTACATGTCCCGCCTCCCTTTAGGTGTGAGAGAGAGAGAGAGAGAGAGAGAGAGAGAGAGAGAGAGAGAGAGACACAAATACACTGACCTCCACCTGGGGCCACAGACATGGATAAACTCACCGTGATATCAGGATGCCTCTTCCTCGCTGCAGACATCTTTGCCATCGCCAGCATCGTTAACCCGGACTGGATCAGCACTGGAGAGTCAGCTGGTAGGTCGTTGTTGTTGTTGCACTTTGTCCCACTCCTGCACAGTTAAATGTGGTCAGGTCATATCGCTGTGGTGGAAAATGGAGCTCTAAGTAGGGAAATGGCATCTATTTGTAGCTGGGGAAAAAAATCACATAAATATGATGTGAAGTCAGTACACATGTCAGAGTGTTTTCAGTTGTCAATGGAGTGTGGTGGTCAACATGTTTGGCTTGTGACCCATTCAATAGAATCAATGCCCTCACAGGTTATCACAGATAACAGATGTGTTCCTTTAGTGGCTGCCCAGATTGATCTCGGGACCCTTTGGAGAGTCCCGACCCCAGCTTTTAAAGGATTGGACAGAGATGTTGCATGTAGAGAATGAGTGGCAATGAAACAAAAAATAAAAGGAAACAGAAACAATCTAAATTGTTTGCTGAATTCAGCAAAGGTCAAGCAAAGGTTTGGGTAGGAAAGTAACAACCTAGTGCCAGTAGTGTCACCCTCTGTTCTGTGGTATTTTAACATGTTTAAGTGCCCATAATCTTCTTGCAAGATCATCTGCACTCATCTTTCAACGTAAAGTAAGGAGTGTGGCGCTCACAAACATTAGGGGATTCTCTCCAGGAGCCACTCGTACTGTAAATACATGCTGCGTCGTTTTAGTGTAGTGGACTTTAAAGGCCCTAAAAACTCATTTTCTCAATCAGCCATTTAGTTCAACACGGAAAACACAATTTTCTGCCAAATCTTTGGTTATTTCACATGCAGGATTTCTGTATTTGTATCTGTTCTCGTCTTACTGGAACTGAAGGTATTAAAGCTGTATGTCACGTACATTCACCGATCAAGATTTTGTGATATTTGAACGTAAATGTGAGTACAGTTATTGTGTTGTTTAAAAAAAACACTATCAAAATTCATGCAGCAGATCCAGAGATATTGTCTTTTTCATTCCACTTCCTTGTGCCTACGTTGCCCACAATCGACAATTATGTTAGAGATTTGAAATCATGTTAAAATACATTTACTTTGCACCGCCAGGGACAAATGATTGTGTCTGATCGGATAACTCAGATTTACATCTACGTCAACAGCTGTTGTTCTGGATTAAATGACTACTTTAGTTATGACCTGTATGATCCTTGTAAAAGCCAGTCAGCATCATTTGAAGGGAGGCACATTTCCTTGATTGCACACTCAATCCTAGAATTAAGCGTTGAACACATGCGTTTACCGAATCCCACAGCCTCGCCGGTTATTGCATATTAGAGTAATATTCAGATGCAAAGTCCGAAAGCTAAACATTGACTAAAACTGATGCAACACACACAACCATACCACCGCAGTATATGCACAGCTGCCCGAGGTTCTTGTCCGCCTCCATCCTAATGCCACAGTGGAGCAGAGATAAGCACGCAGCCGGCGTGCCAAGTGGTTATTACAGCATTTGTTTTGTTGTAAAAACAAACCCTGACTGCTGCAGCAAGTTGAGTACATAACGAGCAGTTTTTTGTTGCATAATTAAATGAGTAACCCCGCACCAAATCGCTCTCTCTAAATGGTCACGGTACAAAGTGGACTGTAGTTCAGACCAGCTCATACACTGAAGGTTTTACCTCCCATTCCCTCATAGTAAACAATGGTGTGAAATGACTGTACTGTGCTTACTGTACTAAAAGCTTTCTGTTCTCGCCTAATTAGCACTAACCTGAAGGCAGGAAGTGTTGTTCGGGAATAAAGATGTGGGACTTTTAATTAGGCCTCCTGGGAGAGTAATTCTTCCCACCTGGAGAATTAAGGTTCCTCGGGCTCAGTCATGACGTATTTTGAAAAATCTTTCTTTTTCTCAGCTCTGTCGTTCAGTTGGCTCTCTAGATTTTTAAACGCATGGAAGAAGAAGAAAAAACAATACAATAAACCTATAATAATAATAATAATAATAATATAATAATGATAATATAGCAGGCTCAAGCTCACCGTGAACATGCACGCTGATAACTTCTTAATACATTACATTACAGTCATTTAGCAGACGCTTTTATCCAAAGCGACTTACAATAAGTGTATTCAACATCGGTTTTCGAGAGAACAACTAGTCACCAGAAGTAATAAGTGCATGTCCTTTCCTCAAACAAGCATCTAAGAGCATAAACCAGAGCCAACGTACAGTGCAGAAACAAACGAATGCAATAAGTGCCACAAACTAATATAAAAACAATAAGTGCAATAAGCTAGTATGAATACAATAGATGCTAAGTAAGTGCTAAGCGGAAGGGTAGGCCTTCTTGAAGAGGTGAGTTTTCAGCCTGCGCCGAAAGATGGGCAGCGACTCTGCCGTCCTGACGTCAGTGGGGAGTTCATTCCACCACTGTGGGGCCAGGACAGAAAACAGCCGCGACCGGGACGATCGGCCGCAGGGAACTCTGAGCGACGGGGCAACCAGTCGCCCCGAGGTAGCAGAGCGAAGTGGTCGGGCCGGGGTGTAGGGCTTGACCATGGCCTGGAGATAGGAAGGGGCTGTTCCTTTCACTGCCCTGTAGGCTAGCACCAGAGTCTTAAACTGGATGCGGGCTCTTACAGGTAGCCAGTGTAGAGAACGGAGAAGGCAAGTTGTGTGGGAGAACTTGGAGCGATTGAACACCAGGCGAGCTGCAGCTTTCTGGACAGAGCTTGTCCACCTCCATCCAGAAAAGACGGAGCTTTTCTGGAGCTCCAGAGGTCTGATGGCCGACGCCGGGGCTCCGGCAAGTAGTGAGTTGCAGTAGTCCAGGCGGGAGATGACAAGAGCCTGGATTAGCACCTGCGCCGTCTCATCAGTGAGGAAGGGGCGAATCCTCCTGATGTTGTAGAGCAGGAATCTGTAGGAGTGTGTAACCGATGCAATGTTTGCTGAGAACGACAGTTGGTCATCCAGGGTCACACCAGGTTTCTCGCAGTCCGAGTTGGCGTCACCACGGTATCATCAATGGTGATGGACAGGTCTCGGTGCGGGCAACCCTTCCCCGGGAGGAACAGTAGCTCAGTTTTGTCCAGGTTGAGCTTGAGGTGGTGTGTCGTCATCCACTTCGAGATGTCAGCCAAGCATGCAGCGATGCGTGCCTCCACTTGAGTGTCCCCGGGGGGAAATGACAAGACCAGCTGGGTGTCATCGGCATAACAATGGTAGGAGAAGTCATGCAAGCGAATAACAGAACCGAGAGATGTTGTGTAGAGCGAGAAGAGAAGGGGGCCCAGGACTGAGCCTTGTGGAACCCCCGTAGTCAGCATGCGTGGTTCCGACACAGAGCCCCTCCATGACACCTGGTAGGATCGACCTGTCAGGTAGGATGCAAACAGGGAGTGCGCAGAGCCTGAAACGCCCATCCCCTCGAGGGTGGATAGGAGGATCTGGTGGTTAACAGTGTCAAACGCCGCAGACAGGTCCAGGAGAATCAGGACAGAGGAGAGAGAGTTAGATCTCGCTGCGTGAAACGACTCCGTCACCGCAAGGAGGGCTGTCTCACTTCCCACTTTGAACCCGGACTGGTGAGGGTCCAAGAGGTTGTTTTGGTGGACATAGGTGGATAGTTGAGTAAAGACAGCACGTTCCAGTGTTTTGGAAAGAAAGGGTAGAAGAGACACCGGTCTGAAGTTCTTGACATCAGAGGGGTCAAGTGATGGTTTCTTCAGAAGGGGGGTGACTCTAGCAGTCTTGAAAGCCGTGGGAAAGCATCCTGAAACAAGAGATGTGTTCATGAGGTGGGTGAGAAAAGGAAGGAGTTCAGTCGCAATAGACTGAAGAAGAGGGGAGGGGATCGGGTCAAGGGAGCACGTGGTGGGGCGGTTAGATGTAACAAGGTTGAGGACCTCGTTAGGGGAGAGGGGAGCAAGATAGGGTAAGATGGGGCATGGAGAGGGGAGGGAGAGCTGTGGGGGAAGAGCTGGAGATGGTAGAGGGAGAGGGTGGACAGGGAGAGAGTGGACAGGGGGGCTGAGAGAAGGAGGATCTGATATCGTTTACCTTCTTGTCAAAGAAGTTGGCGAAATCGTCAGGGAGGAAGTAGGAGGAGGGGGTGGGGGTTGGAGGAGTGAAGAGAAAGTTTCGAAGAGTTTTTTAGGATTGGAAGCAGAGGTTAGGATTTTGGAGCGAAAGAAAGCAGCTTTAGCAGTAGATAGAGTGGTGGAAAAAGTGGAAAGAAGAGCTTGGAAGTTAAGAAGGTCCCCCGGGAGTTTGCCTTTTCTCCATTTACGCTCAGCCTCTCTTAGGCTCCGTCTGTCATTACGCACCGAGTCCGACAGCCATGGGGCAGGTGGGGTTCGCCGTGCAGGCCTGGAGGTGAAGGGACAGAGGTTGTCCAAAGAAGAGGAAAGGGTGGAGAGGAGAAGATCAGTAGCAATATCAGGGGATAGGAGAGAGAAGGCTTCAGGGTCAGGGACAGCAGAGGTAACAGAAGATGAAAGATCAGCCGGGGAGAGGAGATGACTACGGGTAGAAACCATGTGGGTAGGTGGTGGAAGTACGGGGGGAGAGGAGAGGGAGTAAGACATGAAATAGTGGTCAGAGAGCTGGAGGGGAGTGACGGATAGGTTAGCAGTAGAACAGTGTCTAGTGAAGATAAGATCCAGCTGGTTGCCGGCCTTGTGGGTAGGAGGAGAAGAGGCGGGGTAAAGGTCAAAAGAGGAGAGGAAGGAAAGAAGCGGTTCTAATTTATCAGTCTGGATGTTAAAGTCTCCGAGCAGGATGAGTGCGGAGCCATCATCATGGAAGTGTGAGACTAATGTGTCGAGATCTTCCAAGAACTCACCAAGAGTGCCTGGTGGGCGATACACAACAGCAATGGTGAGCTTGACTGGATAAGTGACAGTAACCGCATGAAATTCGAGCAAGAAAGCTGAGAGAGAGCAAGGAAGCGTAGCCCGAGATAAACTCAGCTTTCGGCACTGCCGACTGGCAATTCCAGAGCCCCCCCGGTACCACTTGCTCAACATGAGCTGAGAGAGTAGGATAAATGAGGTTAGCGAGGTCACGGCACCTGGGAGTGGCCCAATGTCTACGTAACCACCGAGCAGAAGAGAGGACCGAAATCGGATGCAAACACATGGTTTGAACAATAAAAATGAGGTAACTACACGTTCGAGAAGTCTTAGCTTGACGAAGTCGGGCTTGAAAAAGTCGCCTTGTTGCCTTTGTTTGCCCTAGCCTTCCTTTGCCAGATGCTTGAAAGCTGACGCTTCCAGCCTACAGAAGTGCGTAAGGACAGCAATCTACTGATTGTCTGGCAGGAGTGTAGGCTCCTCCCTTGCAATTAGCAAAGCTATTCAGCAGCTGAGACTAAATCACACCTCCTCAGACAGGCAGAAACTCAGTCCAATCACCACTGAGGCAAGCCTAAGTACAGCTATAAAGACAACTTAGTTAAAGCAAGAATAAAATACAGATTCTGGGTGAGTCAGAAGTTCAGTTCTTGCTCCAGAAGTTGAAAACAGTCTGATAGTTCTAATAGTTCATCAATAATTAAAACCTAGTCCTTTAAAGAAGAATTGGACTGATAGCTTTCCATACAGTGTTCCATAACATATCCGTCCGTTTCCTGTATAATACACCAGTAATACCTGACGTTCCCATACCAAGATAAGCATACACAGTTTTTGTGGCACGTATAATGTACAATGACTAATTTACTGCTTTCACTTTTTCTTATGCTGACTCTCCTTCATACTAACTCAAGTTTATTTATTATCACTCTCAATCATATTTTCATTCAAAACAAAAGCCACTTTCCACACTGGCATGAGGCAAAAACACTTTTATGTTGGACTTGTTTTTTTGCTATGAAGTCCAGTATGCAGGGAAATAAAGGCCCTTATTTACGTTGTCCCCCACCCTGCGGCATGAAAGGATGTGTTGAAATGGAAGAGGATATCCTGTGTAGAAGGGGGATAGGTCAGCCGGCAGGAGGGTGTGGTCCAGGCCTGATGTTCCCTTCATGGACCCAGCACTTTATCCAGGATCAGGAGCTGAAGCCATTTCAACGATAAATATTTAAAGGGCTGATGGATATGGGAGTCGCACTATGAGCATGAATACAATCTGTTTTGTGTACTTGTTTTACATATTTTACACATTTATTTAAAAATACTAAACGGTTAAATGTAAATTGAAGGGTCTTAATGGCTTTAAGTACCAGGCGTTATTCAAAAGCAGCTTACTTTTCTCTTAATTAAATGACGTTTCAGTTTTTCTCCGTGTTTGTCCTGCACCCGTTGTGATATTAGTTACTTGTAATTTTGGCCATCGTGACAGTTATATGAATTCTACAGTCGCTGGGTTTAAATCGCCCCTGAATAAATCCATCAATCCATAAGATGTTTAAAGCTCCTCTTCCCTTTGTGTCTGCTTGGCAGGCACTAACTCGCTTGCTGAGGATAATAAGAAAGAGAAAGGAGGGAGGCAAAAAGAACAAATGAAGGTGTGGGAGGATTTCATTTTGCAAATTTTATGTTGTGTCTTCCATGCAGACAGACTGGATGTAGTAGAGCAGATGCAGTACCTCTGTTGGCCTCCGTGTGTGTGTGTGTGTGTGTGTGTGTGTGTGTGTGTGTGTTTACTGTTAATATGCTCCTACCTGACATGGCAGCAGCCACCAGGCTTTGTGAGGGAATCAGAGGGACTCCCGAGAGGTCGTCATGTCTTATAGCCAGAGTCAGCACACAGTGTTGGGGAGTAAATATTCATGTGTAACTGAGTTACATATCAAAATGCTGGCGATTACATCCGAATATATACTTTTCCATAAAAAGCTTATCTGTAGAATATAACATTTATTCTGTTAAGATCTATTGATGAGCCGTTAACACAAGTTTTACAGTAATCAGGGTGAGCATGTTGAGAGGTTTACACTGCATGGTTTACGTTGATGTTTTTAGGACTCTCACCTTAATTACTCAGTTTAACATTTAAGAAAAGTAACCAAAAAGTCATCAATTGTACTAAGTTACTTTATTTTGATGAACTATTTAAAATAGTTGCATTATTATAATTTTCAACAGGGCAACTGTAACCTATTACATTTATCAAGTAACCTCCCCAACACTGTGAACAAATGATGATGATATATGTTCAGGCTGAGTTTGTTATATGAAGCATGCAAACTCATCAAACACTGCCAGCTACCATTACGCTGTAACTTATCATTTAATGCATTTAATGTGCAGTAGACTTTAGAATATTATTGTATCGAGTCACTTTCTGGTTGAAATACCATCTGGACTGACGTCTACTGTGGAGCACGGCTGATGTTTTATCTCTGAACAAATAAATAATCAAAGCCCCTAAAAACTTTACTTTCTCTCTGTGCACGTGTTACCTTCTGCTGGAGCCTGTTGTTCTGTCTCCGTCCAGGCTCTCTGACGGTGGGTCTGGTCCGGCAGTGCCAGACCATCCACGGCCGAGACCGGACCTGCATCCCCCCGGAGCTGCCCCCAGAGTGGATCATCACGCTCTTCTTCATCATCCTGGGCATCATCTCCCTCACCGTCACCTGCGGTCTGCTGGTGATGTCACAGTGGCGCCGCGAGGCTGCCCGATACGCCCGGTGGATCGCCTTCACGGGGAGTAGGTGTTCACGGTCATCGTCCTTCTAAGTTGAGAGCAAAACACAAGCGGTCTCAAATCTTCTGCATCAGAAGACTGAGGACATATTTTCCTTTAAAGCATCAGCAACCTTAGCAAACATAATTGCTCTGTCCAGTTTCCAGCTGTTATACAACAGGATTTATGAAAATTGTTGCAAAGTTGCTTTATTATCACGTAAAAGCACCACATCAGGGTCAGAAAGGAACTGCAGGTGGTTTATAAAATGCCCGTGAAAGTAAGATATGCTACTTAAGAATCTCCTGTGAAATAAATGGGGCTTACCTCGACGTCGGAATTTCAGGACAGCTTTTAGTCTGGTAATTATGAGCATCTTGACAAAGTGACTCCAGATGAGATGGTTTCTATTTTTAAAGGCAAGAGACAGAGTTTGTTCTATAAGACAGAGCAGGAGCTGCACTCCACTTGGCTCTAAATATGAAGCAGGATGTCACTGGAGGCCGTTTTAATAACATGTTCATACCTGAAAGCTGCTTTAAAAAGGTGGTAAAGAAAGTGGTTTAGGGTTGATAAGAAGAATCAGATTTACACATGTAAGTGTGCAGTACCTGTTTAATCTCCTTTCTGCCCCTCTGTTTCTTCTCTGTCACAGTGGTCCTGTTCTGCATGGCTGCTCTCATATTCCCCATCGGCTTCTACATCAAAGAGGTTGGAGGACAGCCATATAAGCTCCCCAACAACACGGTGGTGGGCTCCTCCTACGTACTCTTCGTTCTGTCCATATTCTTCACCATTGTCGGACTGCTGTTTGCCGGGAAGGTGTGCCTGCCCGGCTGACTTCCTCCTCTTTTTGTATCTTTGGAGGAACACCACAACTGGAGGCGAGTTTTGTTAGCATCGACTCTTCCGTGGCAGCGTTGGAAGTATTGTTGGAAGTAGAACTAAACCGAGCAGCACCCGTGTATGTTTTCCCCTTTGGATGAATTGTCATGCGAGCCGAAATCATCTGAGACTGAGCAGAGAGCTCTGAAACTGGATTCAAACATCCGGACTTTCAAGGGGAGCCCTGTGGTATTTTCCGTCATCTTAAGATCTAATGACAGATTAGATGCACATAGACTGATGTGTCAGGCCCGATAGCGGCCAGTTACCTCGACTATGATGGAGGCTCTTCCTGACCACAGCCACATGGAACAATATGTGATATACACAACGGACTTCTACTTTCTAGGCACAGTTTATTTATTTGTTAAATTGTTCAGTTATGTCTTTTTGTAAAGGCAAATCTCATGAAAAGGCCCAAAGTATCCCAGTGTTTCCCCCGCCGTTAATATGCGTGGTGGATCACTTTGCCTTAAAAGACTGATACTGTTGAGTTAGTTTGGATCAACTCTAAAATTCTGTATCGATGAAATGATTTAGCATAAAGATATTAGAACTGGAACCTAACATGGGCATTATGGGAGTGAGTATTGTAAAGTTGTATCCGTGGATGTGTTGCAGGACGATGAGCCGGTCTCTACCTTCAACAGTATGGATCAGAGGTGAGCAGGTCAAACCTGTTCTGGTGTCCGTTACAGCTTTGTTACTTTTAGTGACAATGAATGAATCCTCCACGGTTTTGAGCATTTCCTGTTGTTTGAACACTGTATCAAGAAATGACTGAATCCATGACTAGTTTGTTTTTTTTATTTTCGAGACGCCGGCGCTGACTTCAGTTCTGTATCAATGAGCAGACAGCCAGTCTGTGGCATGTTCTAGAAACACTGATGTTCTTGAAGGAGGCATGGAAGATCTCATCTCATTAAAAATGACTCATTGGAACACCGATTGTCTCATCCATTGAAGAAGACCGTGGTACTGTCATTATTTACAATCTCAAGTGGACAGAGTTGGGTTCATGACAGAAAAATACGCCATTTCTTCTTTCTTAATTCAAAGTGACTGTATATTGGAATGTCAACATATAGCTGCTATGTTTTAAAACTTCAGCTGAAGGATTTTCTCTCAGCAGCTCATGTAATAAAGTAAAATATATCAAGATTAGAGCTTAAAAAAAGGCCTTCTTGCTTTTAAAATCTTAGATTAGATAAATGAATCTGATGCCCAAAATAAATCTTTTCAGCAGATGCTCCTGCAGTGAAGCAGCAGCTGTTTAGACCAGAATCTCTCACACACACACTTTTCCTCCCTTGTGTGGATGCACAGCATGTTTAGGTTGCCATAGGAACATCTTTAAAAAAAAAAAAAAAATTTAAAAAAAAGGTATCTGGTGACGTGCGTTTGTGTTTTTCAGCGAGCTAATGAGTGACAGCAGCAGGAATCCGGTTGTCCCACTCTGCTCACTACTGCTGCCAAAAGAATACAAACTGCCTTTGACGTTCAAATCTCACGGTCACAAGTGCTGCTATTTCAAGCCCTGAAATATGTCTGTCTGAAATCTATTTGGTCTTTTTTTGGAGTGTGTGCAAATGTTTTGTTGCAGTTCTCAGGGCAACAAAGAGAGAGAGACTCTGGTACTGGCACTAAAACATGATGAGTAGCTTCTCTCTCTCTCTCTCTCTGCTGTGAAACAGATTTAAGTAACCAACAATGGCAAACTAGAGACTAGATCAATGGTTAGAAACTGGTTGAGAAGTAAAAACACTGAATGATACAGACACTGTTGTGGATCATATACCCGCAGTACTGAAGGAACATGGGAACCGTTCTCAAAGAACCAATGTTGCTGCAATGTAACATTTTTAAACTGCACTTATGTGGAACAAATATTTATTACACATTTTCAGTCGAAAAACATGTAGCTAACATGTTATCATACATACAACACTTAAGTTTTACTCGTGTTCCAACGCTGCAAACTCAAAATCAAAAAGCAACAAACAAATACAGCTTACAACAAATGATCGGCATTAGAAATATAGACGATATGAAATGTGAGAATAAAAATGTATCTATAGATCTAAAATATCATGAAAGTTTTTTAAAGTGTGAGTTTCTCAGTTTAGTTTGGCACATTACATTCCTATACGACAATAAGCATGATCAGGTGAACACATGGTGGATTTAAGGAGCCACTTCAATTCTAACCACAAGAGGGCGCAATTGGTCAAATTTAACTCAGAGCAGCCCCTCCACTTCACTTCACTTCACTTGATGTAAATCACCAGATCGCCACTCTGAAGCAGTTTAATTTAGACATTTAACTTATAAAACACTCTTTTAAGAACAGTCCAAAACATCTTTAGTTCAACATGTATATTTAGTGAAAGCCTTAATCGTGTCCAGCTATTGTTTGTTACCTTGTTCTAAGGCTGAACCACATGGCGGCAACACGTGCAGTTCAGTGCAGTTCAATCCTCCGTACTGAATGTGTTGCATGTGTCAGGTCATGGTGGGACGGCCATGCTGCCGCTTGGCCATTCCTGCAGCCACCAGCAGCAATACGCCGGTGAGGAGCTCCAGGCCGTAAGAGAGCCCGGCCAGACCCAGAGACCAGCCGAAGGAGGTGTCAATATAGGCCAGACCCTCCGGCCCCACCACCCTCTCGATCTCAGCCAGGGCCTGGTACGAGTAGACGATGTAGAGACTCACACCACTCAGGGTCAGCTGACCTGGAGGGAGATGCATTGCACATGCATACACACTTAAATTAGTGCTTTACTTAGTATCTTGGCCATCTGTTGATTGAAAAACATTTTAGATATATTCATGTTCTAAGGAACAAACACTCAAGTCATCGTGCTCCAGCAATTATGAAGCGGAAATTCGCACCAATCAGAGTTGCGTGCTTAGAGCTCATCAATAAAACCAGCAATAACATCACGCCATTAGCTTGCCAAAATCTCATATTGTGAGAGACAGGAAACACACTGACGTATATGTCGTCTGCTGACACAGTAGTCATCGGAGACGACTGAGGCACACACACACAGTCCTCACAAGTTTCATAGTGTTGCTATTGGAAACCCTCTACATTTGGAACGCTTGCTACTGGTTTTAAGGGGATGCAAGTGGAGTGCAGAGTCTACCCAGGGCGGGAATAATAATTGTTTTATTACAATTGCACCCCGAGGTGCTACGAGCTCAGAGAATGAGCAGGAGGCAGCATCTGAAGTCTCATTTTTATGCAGAGAGGCACAAATCAGAGACAGACCGGAAACTGCCTCATGTATTGTACATGTAGGACTATTACCTCTACTAGCACTACTGCTACAGCTCAAACAAAAAGTCAACACCATTTTTTTTTTTTTTTAGCAAAAATAAAATAAGATTCACTGGTACTGGTAGATTTTTCTGCTTTTTAAAAAATCTTCTGTGAAATGACACTGAATACCTCTGAGGTTTGGACTGTTTTTAGCCAAACCAACAGGCAACATGTCAGCCTGGGCTCTGGGAAGTTGCTGTGGTTATTTTTAGCTGTGGATGGAGAGAGATGGAGAGATATATCCGTCTGCTACTTTGGTCCAGACAAAACCGTCTCAACAACTTTTGGATGAATTGTATTGAAATGTTAAACAGACATTCGTGGTCCCCAGAAGATGAATCCTAATGTTGTTGACGATCCCCTGACTTCTCCTCCAGTGCCACCATGAGGTGCCATTTGTGATTTTGGGTGAAATATCCCAACAGCTATTGGATGACATGCCACACAATTTGGTGCATTTGACAAAAAACATTCTGTGATTTCCCTAACTAGAATTAGTCCAATAATTATGTTTATGATCAATACCTGCAAAACTAATGACAGTCCTATGTATTTCATATTGTCATGTATTGTCGTACTGGTCCCGTTACTGTAATTAGTCAAAACAGATTTTCAGACACTACAATGCAGAAAACAGCAGCAACAACAACATTAATGTTTGTGGGTCAGCTACACAATATTTACGACATATCATGTAGTTCTTAAGTGTGGATTGGTTTTTTTAACATGGAAGCATTTTGTGGATATTCTCATTTCAGAGGAAACCTTCCTCAGAATGGCAATTACCCTGAAAATGAAATACAAGGGAAGCAGTGGAATGGCCCTGCAGGGAACCAAGACAAATACCCATTAGGCTTTTTAATGGTTGGTGAGGACAGAAGTTGCAGCATTAGAACAAAGACAGAACAAAGCATCAACAGAGAATTCTGATACTAAATATATACAGTATATATATACAGTAATATATATATATAGTAATATATATATATATATATATATATATATATATATATATATATATA